GTACGTGTCAGGCCGCCAACTGGTGTTATTGCAAACCCAGTTTGACGCGTCGAGACAACCAGAGCGCCCCTGATACATGACTTGTTCCTGCTAGCTCTGTGCTTTGTAGGTCAGACCATGAACGGAACGGACGTGCTTGTGTGACGGCGCGATGTGTTCAGTCGATATTCACAGGACAGCGCCGAGCATGCCTAGTGACTTCTGGAGAAACACTATCAGTATGTGGCGTGTCGTGGGTAGGGGGCAAGCGACATAGCCATGCCCGCCATATGGCCTACGCAGGGAACGGCGAGCATCGTACTTACATGAAAGTTGGTAACGATGGATGGAACGAATGAAGGTCCTCCCTCGTCTGCTCGTGAACAAAGTCCTGCGACGCGCCGAATCGGCCCCTGTCGGCCCGGGGTTCTGAGCGAGGTCCTGGTCGGAGGAACTTTGACTACAGGTCAAGGACCGGTTACTCAACAAAGGAGGCTGCGCCCTGGGAAACTGATTCTTGTAATTAGTGAGCGCTGTCACCGTCAAGACGCCGAGGATCATGCCTGCGGCCGGTGGCTAAAATGGATACCTCCTCCTCCTCCTCCTCCTCCACTGATCCGTCAACAGTGCACCTGATGCTCCGTTCGAGGATCCGTGTACTCTCTAATCCCAAACAAACGCGGCTTCTTCACTTTGGGACCCGCTACTTCGCCAAGCGATATCGATACCTTGTCGACAACCAAACAATGCAGCATTGCCGCTATAGCACATCGCACCAAAGCCCAATCGCGAGGCCGGCAGCGCGGCCGCCACCTCCATGACGGGTATATATATAATAGGCCCCGTACTACCAAGCACGTACATCTCTGCGTACACGGGCTTCGCCTTGTCCCGATTCCCGCCCCCCATGGCGTATAAGCACTTCTCTTCCCTCGTACAACACCTTGATAAATTGATAAATAGCACCCCCCTCCCCATCCTCGCTGCCTTCCCTCTCCCACCGCGCTCACACGCGCTTCCCGAGGTGCGTCCCCGCGAGCTCGCGCTCGAGCTCGGCACTCGGGTCGTCCAGCACCGGGCTCTCCGCGCGGCGGCCCGCGTCCGTGAAGCCCGACGTCGCCCCATTCGCCGGCGCGTTCTCGCGCACCGGCGACGCGAGGATCTCTTCGCGCGTCGGGATCGGCAGGCTGCAGCCGATGCGCTCGCATGAGCTAATAGCCCCGACATGGCGGACGGACGGACGGACAGGGGCGGCTCACCTATCCTGCCGCCGGATCTGGCCGGCGGCGCGTGCCTGTGCGCGCACCTCCGCGCGGAACGTCTGGACCTCGTCGACGATGAGGCGCTTCATGCCCTCGATCGTGTCTTCCTCCTCGAAGCTGAAATCGAACGGCTGCACACAGAAAAAGCGTCGGCCCCCGCAGCCTGCGGCGAAGGTGGAGGGGACTCACGGTCGGGCAGACGGGCTCGTCCGCAGGGTCGTGCCACACGGCGAGGTAAGGGTGGTTGAGCGCCTGCTCGCAGGTGATGCGCTTTGCGGGGTCGAAGTGGAGCAGCTGGCTGAGCAGGTCGATCGCGAGCGGGTTCGCGCGCGGGAAGAGCGTCTGGAAAGCGACGCGCGGCTTGATCGGTAGCGAGCGGATGTAGTCTTGGGCCTGGCAGGTGTGGTGAGCGGGTCAGTACGACAGCCCGGACGATAGGACGACGCACTCGCGGGGAGCCAACTCGGCGGAGGGTATCTTCAGAGGGTGTGCCGAGGTAGTGCAGGATCTGGTTAAGCTGATCGACGTAGCTAGGTGGGCAACACTTCAGGACATAAAGCGAGGAGAGACACCGCGATGGACCTACTCTCTGCCCTTGAAGATCGGTTTGCCGGCGAGCAGCTCAGCGAGGATACACCCAACACTCCACACATCGATTGCCGGGCCCTTCAGATCAGCACACGATCAGCATCCCCGGCACAAGAAACGCGAGGGGCCAAACGCCGTCAACGCACATAATTTGCGAAGCTCAGCATGATCTCGGGCGCACGGTACCACCGGGTCGCAACGTACTCGGTCATGAAGCCCTGGTTCGCGGCATTCTTGGCGGTGCCCTGGCCGTTCCCTGCGGGGCTGTACCCGCGCGCCAGCCCGAAGTCGCAGATCTTGAGCTCGCAGTCCGCGTTCACGAGCAGGTTGCCCGGCTTGAGGTCGCGGTGGAGCACGTTCGCGGAGTGGATGTACTTGAGGCCGCAGAGGGTCTGGTAGATAAACGACTGGAAGTGCGCGTCGGAGAGCGGCTGTTGCGAGCGGATCTGCGTGTGCGCGCGCGTGAGCTACGGGGTGGGGCAGAGTGGTTGGAAAGGCGCACGATGGCGTGGAGGTCCGCTTCCATGAGTTCTTCCTAGGTATGGGTAACAATGCGGTTGAGATGGAGACTGGTCGCGGAGCGGGTGATTGATGACGCACGTAGAGATAGACCTCATCAAAGTTGCCATCGGGGCGGAAGACGATGTCCATGTCGTAGAGGCAGGTTATCTAGCAAGGGATGAGGCAGGCGATGGTATGCACGCGCTCATACACACGTTTTTGTGCCCGCGGAAGTGATGCAGCAGTCTGGCATGCGCATTATGAGTGAGTGATCGCTCGCAGAGGGACGCTGGAGGACTGACTTGATTTCCCGGAGACATCTCTTGGTGAGGATCCTCTGCACGGAGGGTGAGCGCGGACGAGAAGGGCGAGGGGAGGAGGACGGACCTTGGTGTTGATGTTTGTGATCTTCTTGATTGCACAACTCTCGCCGGATCTGCGGTGCTTTGCAGCGACGACGCAGCCGTAGGCCCCCTGGCCGAGCTCCTTGACGTACTGATATTCGGAATCGACGACGAAGGTGGAGTTGAGCGCCTGGAAGGAGTGCCGTTGCATGGCTGGCAGGGCGGCGAGATGGATGGGGGCAGTGGTCAGCGAGGAGGAGGAAGGGAGGGAGGAGGGGAAGTGAGGCGAGACGGGCGGTGGGGGCTGTCCGGGATGGAGGAACGCATCTTGAATGGACCCGCGATCGATAGAAGCGCCCTATATGAGCTGCCCCAGATGGCGTCCACAGCCTCTCCGCCGCGCATCTCGTCCACTGTCTCCTCCTGTCGCCAGCGGCCACTCGCGGCCATCGCTCGTTCAGCATGCGTCGACTGCAACGACACGTCGACTGCAGCGACACAGACTGGCCATTCAACGACAGGGGCTGTCCTCGTCCGCACTTTCTCTTCTCCCCCCGCGCTTACACCAGACAATCGCTGTTCGCGGATCTACAAGTACACGCAACCAATCACAGCCGACCTCTCAGTCAGTCGTCGACCACAACCACAACCCCGCCCTTGTTCATGTTCCACCCCAGCTGCTCGTACGTCCACCCAAAGATCAACCCGTCATCCGTGTAGTTGTGGTACGTCAGCAGCGACTTGTGCATCCCCGGCCGCGTGTGTATCCCGCTCAGCAGCGCCATATCCGCCTCGGTCAGCTTCACAAGCTGTCAACGCACCTCAGCAGTCACATCCCAGCGCGCCGAGAGGGAAGAGGGAACGACGCACGGTGATGTTCGCTTTCATGCGCTCGACGTTCTCGCTCTTCGGGATGACGATTATCCCGCGCTGGACGCCCCAGCTGATCACCACTTGCGCGGGCGACGCCCCCAGCCGCTCTGCGATGGCGAGGACGTCGGGGTCCGTGAAGAAGATCGGCTTCCCCTGCCCCGGTAGCGGGCGTCCTGTCCCATCGTCAGTACGCGCGGTCAGACCACGGCCGAGGAGTGCACGAACCAAGCGGGGAGTACGCCGTGAGCAGGATCCCCTTCTCCGCACAGAACTCCTGCAGCGCGAACGACGGCAGACAGGGGTGCACCTCGACCTGGTTCGTCGCGGGCACGACCGTGCATTGCGCAAGCAGCTCGGTGAGCGTCTTGATCGAAAAGTTGGACACCCCGATGGACTTCACTTTGCCTGCGGAACGCGCGCGGCGACGCATTTTGTGAGTGAACGGGAGGGCAGCGCGGGCCGCACGCACCGGTATCGAGCAGCTGCTCCATTTGTTTCCAGGTATCAACCACGGTGGGGTACTGCCCGCACGGGATATGCTCGCCTAATGCACGCATCGTCAATGGATGCTCGTGCGATACAGTATACGTTATGCGCCGATCGTAGACATACCCTGTTCGGTGTCAGACTGGGGCCAATGGATGAGGTAGAGATCGACGTAGTCCAATCCGAGTGCCTTGAGCGATGTCTCGAACGACTCGCGGACCATGTGGTGGTGCTTATTTCTGGGAACCGGTCCGTATGCCGCCAAATGCTAGGACGCAGCAGCGCTGGACTTACGGCAGCTTCGTAGTGACGAAGATGTCCTCGCGAGGGACGCCGGAGTCGCGGATCGCCTTACCAACGTGCTCCTCGTTCGCTGTCGTACGGCGAGCGTCAGTCGCGACGCCTCAGTCCTGGGCTCGGGGGACTTGCCATAGCCAAATGCCTGTCGCATTCGGGTCAGACATTGATGTGACAGTAGGAGAGGACGTCGATCCGACTCACAGTGTCCAGATGACGGTACCCGTGCTGCTCCCATTGATACGTGTTTGCTCAAATGCCGATGAGAGTGGTACATACCTTGAGGGCGTTCTTGACCATCACTTCAACGGTTTCTCCCCCGCCCGGGGAGCCCATCCAGCATCTACACAACGATGAGGTACTGCGACGTGCTCGAGATGGGGACGCACCCCATGCCAATCGAAGGAATCTTCTGGCCATTGTTGAAGGTGAAGTAGGGGATGTTGGCGGCCATGGTTGTGATAGGATGGAGAATTCGGCGTCGACATGACCAAAGACGGGACCCTGATATCGGTGAACCCTGCGAACATGGACGACGGTGAGAGGTCAGAGCATGACCTCCCATTCAACCCACCGGCCCGGGTTGCCCCTAACATGGCTCAGGACACCGACGAACCTCCGGCTGACGGTAGGCGCGGTGAGTCAAGGGGAGGATGAGTTGTGGGCGCGAGGTCCTGTAGTGTAGTGGTTTATCACTTGCTCTGTCGCAAAGGATGGGACCGCCAGGTTCGATTCCTAGAGGTACCTGCGCTAGGTTCGATTCCTAGCGTGCCTCGGCGGGCACCGTGGTGTCGCTTGTGGGCGCCTGCCCTGCCACCTTCACGTGGGCGCCACCCCCATCTTACGTCATCACCCGTCACCTCCACTTCGCGCTCTCTCTCTGTTCTCTCACCACCATCTTGTCTCGCACCCACCCGCCATCGTCGCCGGAATCCCCCGCCACCCTCACGCCTAGCTCCCGCCATTCTACGTCATCGCCCGCCACCGTCATCGCCCGCCCGCATCACCGCCACCGCCCGCAACCGCCATTACCACCCCACGCCTCGTCGCGCACTTCCCGCCATCTGATGTCATCGCCCGCCGCCCCCACTCTCCTTGTCGCCCGTGTCTTCCTTACGTGCGCTTCAGCGCGTCCCGCTACCATCGCCTCACGGCACCGCCCACCACCGCCCGTACACTGATGGTAGGTCTTCCATCTCATACTTGCTTGATTCACTAACCCCGCCATAGGGTTGGGGCGTCCGCACGATCACCATCGTGGACTCCTCGCGGGTGTCGTTCTCCAATCCAGTCCGGGAGCTGCTATTCGAGTTGAACGGCAGGAAGCCCAAGGCCGCCTGCGCGGCCGAACTGCTGAAGAGATTCTTCCTCCGCGTCGTGTGTCGCTATGATCCACTTTCCCTTTGGCGCAGACGAATACCCACAGAATGCAACCAAACGGAGCTTGAGCGTCCCAATACCATACCGTCCGATCTCGCGCGCGTCGGTCGCACAAGCCAACGCAGACGTCGCCGCGCTCGAAGCCCTATTCGACACCCTCGATGCGATCTTCCTCCTGATGGAGTCGTGCGAGAGCCGCTGGCTCCTGACCGCGCCCGGCTTCGACATGTTCCATGTATTGCGGCGCCCATTCGACGAATTGCGAAGGGCGAGCTGCTCAGCGACATCGTCGCTCCTGCGGATGTACGTGATTCCTTTCCGCCTGCGAAAAGTGTGCTGATTGAGTGTGTTGGTGTTAGGCTCTGCAGCTTTTCTCGACAGACCCAACTGTAGAGCGGATGTACACCGTGACGAGGTCCGGCCTCGCCGCAACTGCCTTTGCCACAGCGGTCGAGCCACTCGTCTCGCTCCTGCAGCACTCCGACGGGTAGGTGCATCCGCCGTCACAGAACGCCATTCCACTCAGACCATACATTCGCACTTGCGATTAGGATCAACGCCGCACAGCGTGACCGCAGACGCAGGGCGGCGAGTCTGCGCACACGTCGGAGGGCGTGCTCGGGGCACCGGCCGCGCCGGCCGTCGCGCAGCTCCGGAACATGCCTATCACGGGCGCGGCACTATGTTGGAACCAGAGTACGCTCACGTCCATGCTTCCTCTTCAATTCTCTGACCGTCCACTAGTTAGCGAGGGATAGTACAAAGCAAGTGTCCTCCATGGGGATGTCCTATCGGCCAACAACCGCATTGTCAGGGAAAGATGACACTGGGGAGCAAGGCAACGAGCTTCCACATCAGCGATGTCTACTGATGTGCGGTGGAATAAGTACGCAAACGCTCCGGCTGCATGGTCAACGGTTATGCAAAGATAGGTGAAGCGTATACATTGTTATGTGATCTCAACTCTTGGGTGACAACTTGAAGCGCGTGTGTGGCGTTCGGCGCTCATTCGTAGTAAGTTCGATTTGTCACGCGTCACGGCAGGCCGGTCACTTAGCTGCTTAGCAGGTGGGCTCGAGAGCGAAACACGGGAACAACAGTGTACGGGCTAGGATTTGCCCCTGGTTTGTTGTTTTCAGTGCTAGATATCACTGCATTCAGAGGGGTAGTGCTGTCCAGTATTGTCCATGGTGTTGGCACCACACAATAATGCGCAGCATGTGCAAGGTGACCGGCACTGATTCCGGTTCATGGTGTGTGAGCGCAGTGTAACAGTTGCCTATCTCAAGATGAAAGTGCGCCTTCGGGCAGATAAATGACTGGCTTGAAGATGGTACCAACAAGCAAGTAGAGTCACTGCTACAGATCCGCCGCAAGGCGCGAGTGCGATCAATTTCTGGTCTCCATCATATATGTTAACAACTCATTTCAGATCGGTCGTATATCACCGATTCTAAGCAACTGGACATGCGCATCACAGTAACTTCCAGACTGCTACACGTCCCGCTGACGTGCGAGGTATCTCTGGAGTATGTCGGGGTGTCTCTGATCGTCCTTGTGCTTCGCTATTCCCTCCTTTTCCAGCTTCTCCGCCCGCACCGCGAGGTTTCCCTCGTGCCGCTTGATTGCTTGCGCTAACCGTTCAACGAGGCCCTCACGACCCCCTATCCCCTCTAGCTCGTCGGAGTCATAATTCATTTCGTCCACCATGTCCTCCGCCAACTTGTCTTGTACGTAAAGAAATGGCCCGTCTGGACCTCTTTCCAGCTCGATTCCGAGATGTTCTGTGACGTCGTATATCTCATGTCAGAGATGACCTTGTCATGGCTGCGGTCAAGCTTACCTGTCTCATACGCATCGGTCTCTCTAACAACCGTATGCAGTTCCTCGCATCCAAAGGATGGCGCGAAGCGATATTCAGTTGTGAGCCAGGAGTAGCCTTGGATGGTGCATTCGTGGTCGACCCTTGCGCGAGCAAAGTCTATGAGGCACGGCTGCCCATTATCCCTCACAAGAACATTTCTTCGCATGCAGAATTGTCTTTCTGGTGTGGCTTCGAGCCCTGGCAGGACCTTTTGTTTTGGATGACTGGCCTTATGTCGAATCGCCATCGATGGCCTGTGTAAGTGGTTGTGGGCGGGGGCGTGGGAAAGGCGGACGCGAGGATCAGTTACGGACAGTGGACGGTTGGACGACAAGAGGACTTAGACTCTCTCCTCGCCCATCGCCCCTCCCTCCCCTCGCCCGCACCAGCTGTACTGCATGCTCTAGCCGGCGTGACTCTTCTTCCCCACGACCATCTCCGCCTCCTACCATGAGGCGCTCTGGTCTATCCCGCGCACCCTCGCCCACCAATACCACCTACTCTGGCTTCTCCAACTACCGCACCGACTCCTACCGTCCCATCAACCCCCCCGCCACTCCCCCTACAGCCGACCCCCGCGATGTCGCCCGCTCCCATTTCGTAGAGCTCAACAGGTACCTTGCCAGTTACTTGGTCAACGGTGAGTCCCGTCTACACTCGATGAGCACTGAAGCCCATGCGCCCTCACTAGAACCTCTCAACTCGCGTGCAACCGCAAGACAGAAGCTTACCCGCCTTACCCGCCAGCAATTCCAAGAGCTCTCCACCGATGTATATGACGAGCTACTCCGCAGAAAGAACAACTCGTCCACCAACGAAGGTGCGCCCCATTCTACCCTAGTCTTGCCGCACCTCCTCACCCGTGTTGTCAGTCCCCTTCCTCCCCGTAAGGGACGACTTCCATCCCAAACGGAATCAGGCGCGACAGAAGCTTGCCACACTGCCGGAAGGGCGCTTCAAGGACCTCTCCAGCGATGTTTACTTCGAGCTCTCCAGACGATACCCAGAGTTTAAGGAAGAGGTATGTGTCTCATCGCTACTGGTAGGCGGCGAATGGTTAGGTCGCCCGCGGCATGCTCTCCTTGTGAGCTAGGGCGATAAATGATGGTACGATCGCCTCTGTCTTATTGCCATATTGGCAGGACACGCTAAGGCAGTCGCTCTATCTGCGCCGCCGCATGCGACCTCTCCATGGCTTGCCGGTTCACAACGTCTCCATTCACCCACTCAATCTATCCGCAGCTGGACGTCGTATCACCTGCATCTGCATATGACGACTACCCTTCTCCTGACTTTCCGAACAACAATGTCCGCACTCCCGCCACGGCTACCCGCGCTCTCCCCAACAGCGACGCCCGGACTTCCGGGGGCCGCTATGCCGCCAGCCCGCCTTCCGCGCGCCGCCCCTCCGAGACATTCTCCAACGGCCGGCAGAGCGCCGACGCGTACGGCGGCGTCGAGGCATACGGTGGCGCGGGAGCAGGCGCAGGCCCGGTCCGGCGCAAGCCCTCGGATGCGCGCCGGAGGCCGAGCCAGGACACGACGTATGCGGTGGGTGCCTCCGTGAACCGGCGGCCGAGCGAGAGCGAGGGCAGCAACGCGTCGAACGCGCAGAGCGCCACCGCAGGCATGGGCATGATCATCCCGAACAAGAGCACGATCGCGGAGGAGGAGATCGAGGTGCCATACGGCCGCGAGGTGCGCGACTCGGGGAGCACGGCGCGGGATCGCGAGCGCGAGCGCGCGCCGCGCATCTCACGCGCCGACGAGGACCGCAGCGATTATGGTGAGGACGAGCCCGAGGAGGGCAGCCGCCCCGGCGGTCTCGCGGCGCTCAGTGCACGGCTGCAGGCGGTCGGCGACGAGGACGAGGAAGCGGGGCGGAGTGGGGAGGACTACTTTGACAAGATGAGTATCGGGCGCACGAGCGCGGCGAGCGAACGCAGCTTCGCGCGGGGCGGCCGGAATAGCGCCGGTGCGGAGGAGGAGCTGCGGCGCGAGTACGAGTACAAGATCGCGACGATGCAGCAGCGCATCACGGGCCTGGAGCGCGAGGTGGAGGAGTCCCGGGAGAAGGAGCGGGCGTGGGCCAAGGGCGAGGAGCGCGTGCGCGCGATTGAAGACGAGCTGCGGGAGCTGCGCCATGTGAGTGTCGGCCGGTGTGTGAAGGGAAGCGCGACTGATTATCGGGTTCAGCGTATGGAGGAGAAAACGACGGCCATGTTCACCTTGCAGCAGGAGCTTGAGACACTCCGGCAGGAACGTGCTCGGGAGCAGGAAGCAGTCGCACGACGGTCGAGGGAGGACGAGGAGGAGCTCCAGATCCTGCGCGAGCGTTGTGAGAGACTCGAAGAGGAGCGTGTAGGAGGTGGCGGGCAGGTGAGCTGGAGCTTCGCCACGTTCGTGCATCTGCTTACTGCGCTTGCGTAGGGCAATGCGGAGATTCTTGATCAGTTGCGGTCAGACATGGAAGGCCTCGTGATCGAACTGACTGACCTTTCGC